CCACCATGCCCAGCTAATTTTTTGTATTTTTAGTAGAGACGGGGTTTCACCATGTTGATCAGGATGGTCTCGATCTCTTGACCTCGTGATCCACCCGCCTCGGCCTCCCAAAGTGCTGGGATTACAGGCTTGAGCCACCGCGCCCGGCCTTGCTCCTTTACTTTCTAAATAAATTTGCTTTCACTTTACGGATTCACCCTGGATTCTTGTGTGAAATCCAAGAACCCTCTCTTGAGGTCTGGATCTGGACTCCCTTCCGGTAACACTATGATTATGCCACTGCACTCCAACTTGGGCAATACAGCAATACCCTGCCTCAGAAAGAAAGGGAAGGGAAGGGAAGGGGAAAGGAGGGGAGGGGAAGGGAGGGAAGGGGAGGAAGGGAGGGAGGGGAAGAACTGACATATGCTACAACATGGAGGAAGCTTAAAACATAAGACTAGCCTGATCAACATGGTGAAACCCCGTCTTAAAAAATAAATAAATAAAAATTTAAAAAATTAAAGAAATACTTAAAAATATTGTATGATTCCATTTGTGCAGAATAGGCAAATCCAGGCTGCGTGTGCAGTGGCTCACTCCTGTTAATCCCTGCACTTTGGGAGACCTAGACAGGCGGATCACCTGAGGTCAGGAGTTCGAGACCATGAGACCATCCTGGCCAACATGGTGAAACCCCTCTCTACCAAAAAATATAAAAATTAGCCAGGGCCGAGGCTCCCACCGGAGTCGCCACCGCGGCGCCCTCGCCTACCCGCCAGCCCGCCCGGGCTCCCCGCCCCGCTGGCTGCTGCGGCCCCGCTCGCCTCGCGCCGGCAGTTTTGGGCCTATACCTCCCCTCCCCGCGCCAGCCGCCAAAGACTTGACCACGTAACGAGCCCAACTCCCCCGAACGCCGCCCGCCGCTCGCCATGGATGCCGGTGTGACTGAAAGTGGACTAAACGTGACTCTCACCATTCGGCTTCTTATGCACGGAAAGGAAGTAGGAAGCATCACTGGGAAGAAAGAGGAGTCGGTTAAGAGGATCCGCGAGGAGAGTGGAGCGCGGTTCGACATCTCAGAGGGGAATTGTCCGGAGAGAATCATCACTCTGACCGGCCCCACCAATGCCATCTTTAAGGCTTTCGCTATGATGATCGACAAGCTGGAGGAAGACATCAACAGCTCCATGACCAACAGCACCGCGGCCAGCAGGCCCCCAGTCACCCTGAGGCTGGTGGTGCCGGCCACCCAGTGCGGCTCCCTGATTGGGAAAGGCGGGTGTAAGATCAAAGAGATCCGCGAGAGTACGGGGGCGCAGGTCCAGCTGTCGGGGGACATGCTGCCCAACTCCACCAAGCAGGCCATCACCGTCGCTGGCGTGCCGCAGTCTGTTACCGAGTGTGTCCAGCAGATCTGCCTGGTCATGTTGGAGACGTTCCCCCAGTCTCCGCAAGTGAGAGTCATGACAATTCCGTACCAGCCCATGCCGGCCAGCTCCCCAGTCACCTGCGCGGGCGGCCCAGGTCGGTGCAGCGACGCTGCGGGCTACCCCCAAGCCACCCATGACCTGCGGGGACCACCTCTAGATGCCTGCCCGATTCAAGGACAACACACCATTTCTCCGCTCGATCTGGCCAAGCTGAACCAGGTGACAAGACAACAGTCTCACTCTGCCATGCTGCACGGCGGGACCGGATTCGCCGGAATTGACTCCAGCTCTCCAGAGGTGAAAGGCTATCGGGCAAGTTTGGATGCATCTACTCAAACCACCCATGAAGTCACCATTCCAAATAACCTAATTGGCTGCATAATCGGGCGCCAAGGCGCCAACATTAATGAGATTCGCCAGATGTCCGGGGCCCAGATCAAAATTGCCAACCCAGTGGAAGGCTCCTCTGGTAGGCAGGTTACTATCACTGGCTCTGCTGCCAGTATTAGTCTGGCCCAGTATCTAATCAATGCCAGGCTTT